ACACACACACACACACACATACATATAACAAATGAGCTGGTAGGTGATTTAATCTTGGTTCTCATACAACCACTCAAGCAGCATTATTGCAAAGCGTAATCAGTACAGAGATTGTTTTTGGGTACTTTTTTTAGTCTTATTGTTCTTCTCATTTTCTTGCAGATTTTGACCAGTTTCTGGCAGAACGTGCTGCCTCAGGTGGTCAACGATCAAATAGCGCAAAATCTGGTTCCCAGCGACCAAAACAACGACAAATGCAAATGGAAAATAAAACAGAAGACGAATTCTTTGGACTATGAAGAACACAGAATCTTCTTATTAGTTGTTTTGCCTAATTCTCAAATGTGAGAGCAAATAGGAGGACTACATCCAATGAAACTTCTAAGATGTGATCTTAAATGTGTTTTTAAAGGACTCAATTGTTTACCGACGTAAAGGTTGGAATAGCTGTTTTACTTCAATCACATCTTGTAATATGTAACTAAATGAGTTCTCAAGATGCTATAGAAACACACATTTGAGACCTTTAGATCTGATGATGAGTATGAAAATAATGAGTGTTGTTAGTTGCTTTGCTTGCTTACAAGCTTGACATTGCATTGACATAACCAATTAGATGAAACTTCATAGCTGCTGTCTTGTTTACTGAGAGTTTTTTTGGAACCATCAGCTTCATAGTGTTGAAAACAAAGTGTAAATGAATGAATTGGTTTTAGTTACTTTTTGTTTTATACTTCATGAGAGATGTTATTAAGCTTAAGTCGTTATCAAAGCTGTCTAATCCATTCTATTTTCATGTGATTTTGATTTTTTTCAGCTCCCCTTGCAGTGAACAGAGATCAGATCATTTTTCATGTTGACCTAAATGTTTTTTAAACATAGTGCGAATACAAGGACAAAATATATTACAGACCAGGTCATACTATTAGTCGTAGTCTTGGTTGTCAGATCTAAAGGTCTCTATCATGTATTCTCCCACCCCAACCTCATGCCACAGTATGAACAAGAAAAGGCAATATGTCATAGAATAATCAGCAAGCTACCTCTCAAAATATATCAGACTTTTACTTAGAAAGAACTGGATTAGTTACACAGTCTTATTATTAATAAGTGTCTAGCATAACAGTATCGTACCTTTCAAGAGTTAATCAAGTATTTCCTTTACAAAAGCTGGATATATCGTTCTAGCAGAACCTGGTAGCAGTGGTAGTACTGGACATAAATGGAAAATAAAAAGAAATCCAAATAATAACTGTGATTTTTTTTTCAAGAATGAAATAAAAATATAACTGAGTAATGAGTAAAAGCATAACTTTTTCTTGTGTTTTGTTTCTATAATTTATATATCTTTTATTTCTTTCTTATCTACCAGTCGTGTTGCGGTAAATACTTTCCTTTTGGCCATATCAAAGCCTTTCTTTTATAATCTTGTCCTTCTTAAGTTAACTCTCTTTTCCCCCCTAAACTTAAGAGAAATCCCATTCCATTCATTTTGTATCCCATTCCTATTGATCAAAATCCCAGTCCCAATCTTATTCCAAATTAGTATGAAAATAATAATCAATTCACAAATCCAATATAAACTTCCACAATCTACCCCAAGGTAAATCGTTTTCAAAATTCTATGAAATTCTCAAAGTAGATCGTTCAAATTCATCTCTAAATTCAGAAATTTTTCCCCAAATTTTCCTTCCAACGATTTGAAAATAGCGGGTCTTGTCAAAATCTTCCTTATTTGGTCAGTCGATTGTTCTAGCATCGACCAATAGGAGCAGGGTACAGGTCTGCGCATATAAAAAGTGCACATGTTTCTTTGAAGATGTGTTATTATTTAAAGTAATGTCATGGCTCTGGCATTTTTTCAAAATCAAGCTCGTTTGAGCCTCCGATTTCCTCGTTTCATCAAGGTTTAGACATCATGGTTAGCTGTGTCCACGTGAGCCGCTTTAAACAAGCGAACGGGATTAAAACTTATAGGAAAATTCACTCGCGGTTTGTTTCTTGTATCTCGCGTGAGGACAGAAAGAGGAAGGTACGAGATCATGGTTTAGATTTCTTCCTCTCGAGCTCTCAAACCTTGATGAGTTTTAAAACACTTTGTTCTTGTTATTTTACAGGCTACTTCGTGTAACTGCCATGCCTGTGGCACGTATTCTTCACGCTTGCATTCCTGTTTATCTTGCGTTTACTTCGGATGTTATACTGGTAGCCGGCATATTCAACAACATGCAAGGACCTCTGGCCATTCACTTGGTGAATACCCATTCTCTTTGATTATGAAAAACCTTTGATCGAATTCTCAAATTAGCTTTCTTGAACCTTCTACTTTGTTGTGTTTTATTCTTACAGCCATCGATTTAAACCACGGAAGTGTGTACTGCTTTATTTGCGGTGACTATAAGTATGATAAAGACTTTGAAAAAATTGGTCGTGAAGAGAACAGACGTGCTTGGAGAAGATTGAGTAAGCAATTATTAACTTAATAGAGATATTTTATACCCTTTTTATTCTTTATATTTATTTTTCCTAACTATCTTCATATCTTTAAAATTCGTTGTCAATAAACCTTTTGGTCAAAGAACGAAAGTTCAACGGCCATTGATTTGTCCACGTTTCCCTAAGCTTAGTTGACCAGAGAAACTTAATTTTTTTATTGTTAATTAAAGTTTCTTTATCCTTCGTTCCTATTCATCTCTGGTAAGAACATTTTGTACATAAATATGGAGCCGTGTTTTTGTTTATGTACGCAAACTTAATAAATGAGCTATTGTTTGAGCTGTAATCTCGTTAAAATGCTTTGTTTTTGACAGATTTGAATTTTAAATGGCATCATACGGCGATGAGAGAAACATTTCTTAGATTGCCAATCTTCAGTTTGGATTTCTGAGCCAAATATGGTGGAAAAAACGAGGTCATTTTTCCAAAATAAAAAGAATTTTCTCTTTTTTTCCAGCTAATGGACATGTCAGATATCATATGTGGCAGCCAACAAAATCTGATGCCAAGCTACTGAGGGACAATCCACAGAGAATCAAAATTACAACGAACTCTACCATAGGTGATTATTGAAATTGCAAGCCTCTAGAGAACCATTGTAGGAAAATATGCAAATCACAGGGTTAGAATAAATAGATGGGTTTCACCGTGGTTTCTTCTAGCAGCAATGGAACAATTTGCCCAGGCATTCATCTATGCTGCAGCGACCAATTGTTGCACCGTCAGATGATTGAACTCACAATGCAATCCTTACTCATTGCAAATAGCATACTGATAGTTAAGACCTCTATCATTTCCAATATTGCAGGTTTGCGAGGGCTGATAAATCTTGGCAATACCTGCTTTATGAACTGCATAGTACAAGCATTAACACACACTCCACTCCTACGTGACTACTTCCTGTCAGATCAGCATATATGTAAAGGTGATAGTGATAACTGTCTCGTTTGTGAAATGGCGTCATTGTTCCAGGAGGTGAGTTAAAAGCAGACTTTCTTTTCATAAAATTTACTCAGTGGTGAAGGAAATAACATTTTCTATTATAACAATTTTATGGTGACTTAATAAAGTGCTTTAAAACAACCTAAATGCAGGGTAATCAAGCTAGGAATTTAAAGAGAGTTGAGAAAATCTTCAAATTCAAATTTTTATTGGATCTTAAAACAACCTCTGGGCTAAACCATTTGAAGTCAGGTCATGGCTAACTCACAGACTGAACCTTGAAACAACTTCAATTCTTGGCTGATCTAAGTCGGGCACAGCTAACTCACAGACTGAACCCTGAAACAACCTCATTCTGATCTAAGTTAGTTCATAGCTAACTGAAAGATCAAACCCTGAAACAACCTCTGGGTTTATCTAAGCTATTAGTTTAAGGCTAACTCACAAATCAAACCCTGAAATAACCTCTGGGCTGACAAAAGTCAAGGCATGGCTACCCTCACAGCTATCCAATTTGGACTTAGCATGTTGCATTTTGCAAATGGAGGAAAACCCCCTAAAATACCCACAAATCAAGAGAGAAACCTAACAAACTCTGCTCACATGTGATGACGAGTCCATGAATCAAACCCAAGACCCCAGAGGTGAGTGCACTCAGGCAGGCCATTTTAAATTCTGCTTCCTCTTTTTAGTTTTATTCTGGACAGAAGATGCCTCATTCTCCATTCAAGCTGCTTCACTTGGTGTGGACGCACGCACGCCACTTGGCCGGCTATGAACAGCAAGATGCTCACGAGTTTTTCATAGCTGCTTTAGATGTTTTACACAATTACTGTAAAGGTACTAGTGATGTCTTTAAACATCTTACCCATGGGTCAAAGCAATTGGCCCATGGCTAAGGGAGAGGAGGGGGTATTTTATGGTTCCCATCACCTAAATCAATAAAAGTGAGTCCCTATTTTGGACCTTTGTTTTAACCTTGTCCCTCGAGTGTACAATATTCTAGATTCGTGGATTTTTATGATAGCGTTGAAGCTATGTATACTTTACAGTTGGTATTTAGGAATATTATATATTGATAAGATGGTAATCTTAGTTTGTATTTGATTCAAATAGACGATGCCCCTGACAAGAACACGTTAAAGCCAAACAACCACAACCAATGTAACTGTATTATTGATAGGATATTCACTGGTGGGCTGCAGTCTGACGTCACCTGTCAAGTTTGCAAGTAAATCATACATACTTCCTATTTTTGATTGTGCAGCATTCCCTAGGATATTTTATCTTTCCCGATTGGTCATACTGAAGAAACAGAAAACGCATGCGTGTTGTCTGCAGTTATAAAGCACACAGGGATTGGCAGAACACAAGAGAAATGTTAGGAGAAGCACGACACGCAGTGGTGCAAGCAGCATGTAGACAAGTAGAAATATGATAACCAAATGGAACAGGAAGGATATCGTAGAAAGTGTGTGAGTGTGCTGTGAACTCTTATAAAGCACAGCTCGCAACCAATAAGAATGCGGTATTTCATAATAATTGGTATAGGCCCTGAAAGATTAGTTTTTTGCATTTGTTAGATGTCAGACATACTTTCATTTTGAATCACGTGTAAATCCCTTGAGGATTATATCTTTCTTTACTTTTAATACTGATTAATATGGTGTGAAGGATGAAAGGAGAAGGGACTACAGCCAACTGAAACTCAACACATTTCTATTCATTTCAGTTCTGTTTCTACCACTGTTGATCCATTCTGGGATATCTCTCTTGATCTTGGTCACGGTGAGCAAGGAAATGGACGAAACAGTTCTGGAGCATCTGCTGCATCTACTCCTGACCCAGCTTATTCTGGTACTAAATCTGACAACAGTGACTCAAGAATATCCTATATGAATCATTCTTGCTACTTAAAATTGTAACAATCCAATGATTCATTTTTCTTGTTTTAGGTGAGGATAGTAATGGACAGACTCCAGAACGCACCCACTTGGATGAGAGTTTTGTACCAAAATCATTGATAGAGTGTTTACGAAGGTTAGTATGATCTCCACAAGGAGAATTCTAATGAGTCTAAAAAGTGTTTTTACATTTTTTTTTTACATTTTGTTTAAATCAAAAAATGATATGGTATATAAGTTCCACATTTTTGGCCGTCCACTCGAATTTTAGGTTTACAAGACCAGAACGACTTGGAAGTGAAGCTAAAATCAAATGCAACAAATGCCAGAGTTACCAGGAGTCAACTAAACAGCTTTCCATGAAGAAATTACCTATTGTAGTATGCTTTCATCTGAAGGTAGAGGAATTTGGACTTAAAGTTCATCATCATCATTGCTAATAATCATCATCTTCAGTTGTCACTATCATTATCATCATCATTATTATTGTCATCATATGCATTATCGTCTTCATCAGTATCATCACTGTCAGCATCATGACCATCATTATGTTCACCACCATGATCATCATCAATTACATCATCATCATCATCATTACCATCATCCTCCTCATCATCATCATCACCATCATCTTCGTCACCATCATCTTCGTCACCATCATCCTCATCACCATCACC